TTTATTTCACCTTTTTTTCTGTGGTGTTTCAATTCAGATCATTTATATTGGTTTATCTTTAGGGTCATTGTTTCCTCAGCTGTGTCTAATCAACTGATGAGCCTATTGAAAGAATTTTTATTATTGGGATTCTTTTGTGTATAGCATCTCCATTTTACTATTTCCTATAGATTCCATCTATCTGCTTAAATTCTTCACCTATTTAGGTATGTTGGCCACCTTTTTCTCTAGATTCTTTAACATAGAAAGTATAGCTCTCTCAAAGTCCATATCCTACAGTTTCAGATTTCAGGTCATCCCTGAGTCTGTTCTGTTGATTGTTTTGTCTCTTAAAAGTGGAGTTTTGGTTTGGGAGGGGGATGTTGTTTTGTTCTGGCCTTGCTTTTATGTGTGTCTTCTCATTTTTTTTTTTTTTTTTTTTAATATTCCAGTCATCTTGAATAGAACTATAGAGGCTGAGGAGATCAGTAGTATTTATGCCATTATAATGGGAGGTGCAGTCAATTTAGTCAGAACCTAGGCTGGGCCTTGGTTTTATGATTGCTGTGGTTACTCTCCGTTGATCATAGCTTTCGAATTCCTCTAGCAGGGGGCTGCCGCGGCCTTAGTGTGGGGAGCCCGCGTGCCGGAGGGTTTTTCTCAGTGTTAGCACACTGTCCGCTTTTGGTCATCCTGCACAGCTCAGCCACAGGGTTGTTTCCCTGTCTTGCAGTAGCTCCACAAGAGATAGACCGCTGCTGTTTGTTATTGGTCGACCTCAGACCTGGGGAGGCCCTGTATGCCTGGGCCTCCGTGAAAGGAGGTGGGAAGCTTCTTGGCTGTTCCTGTTCCTTCTCTCTGGGGCAGCTAAATTCTGAGTGGTTTTGAGACGTTTTCTGCTTCTCCCCCAGCCGTGGGAAACCTATATTGGTGTCGGTGTGAGGTCTTTGGCCAAAGATGCCTCCCCCAGAGGTGGAGAGGTTTTTTCTTCTGCCCTTCCTCCAGCTGTAATTGGTTTTTTCCTGTACCATGGGATGCTGGGCTTGGTTGCTTTCTCCTAGTGGTGTGAAGTTTTGCTTCATGGGAGGTTGAGAGATTGTGTAGAAAAACCTATTTATACTAATGGGCAATTTCACAGATGAAATTATTTAGAGGGTTCTAATCATTGGCTTCTATTTTTGATCCTAGTTGCTTAAAATAACATTGAATTTTTAAAAGCTAGATGGCAGGTAATTTTCTTTTCATTTTCATATTTCATTTGCTGATTTTATTCCTGTCTTATATAATTATTCCACTAATTCTTACAGTTACGAGAGGTTTTGCCTTTTAAAATACTCCCAAAACCTTTTCAGCTCTTGGCATTGTCTTTTTTATTTTTTTACTTATTTTTTTTAGTGACTGTTGGAAGTCAGTAATACTAAATGAACTCTTAATTTAAAATTGAAATGTTCATGATCACCATATTCGTGTTAGAAGGAACAAAAGCCAATACCTATACTTGGTGATACAACTACGTGCTTTAGATTTCAAAATCCAGGGTGGATAGTATAAATTATTAATGATTCTTGTTGGCTCAACAGACTTTATAAATGCCCGACTACCTTTTTCTCCCTTCTCTTCCCTTTCATTCTTTCTGATTTTATCTGCAAGAACAAACTCTTCAGCCCTCAGTGAAATGATCAGGCCACGGTAAAAACTTCCTGAGAGGCAGTGTAGTATGGACTGAAGCCAGACCGCTTGGGTTCTAATTAGTTTACATCTCAGTAGTTATGTGACTTTGGACAAGGTACCTGGCCTCTTTATGCCTCAATTTCCTCATCTAAATTAAAGATACTAATAGTTATCTATTTATATGCTAATAGTATTTATATACTAATATACTTATATACTAATATATTTATATACTAATAGTATTTATATACTAATAGTATATAGGTCAAAAGTTTATTGCACGAATTACTAGGAGCGTTAATATGTGATGCATTTCGAACAGTGCTTGGCACATAGAAAGTGGTACCTAACAAATACTGTAGAAGGATTTGTTATAATATGGGGTTTCATCCTAAAAGTCACAAAGAGCTGCTGGTAAGCTGAAACAAACCAAACATGGAAAGGCAAGGGATTGGAAAAAATACTGGTAAGGGATTATTCAGCCATAGGTTATCTCATAGGCTACAGGAAAGGAAGGACAGAAAGAGTGAATGTAGACACACATCCTGGCATAGAGAGCCATGCTTACATTTGATCTGATCTCTCTCCTGATCACACAGAAAATGTTCTTGGGTCCTTGAAGCCAGGTCTAAGTTCATGGGGCAGAGGCAGAAAGGAGGGAGAAAACTTGGCTGCAAGAGCCCAGGCTCACTTCTGTAGTTCCTCTGTTCTGGTTAGAACACTAATAATCTGGAGTCAGACTTACTAATAGATTATTATTCCAGGTTTAGCTGTGTGCATTTTAACAAATTATTTAACCCTTCTCAATTTCAGTTTCTTTATAAAATGGAGAACAACTTACTAAAGTTGTTAAATTAAAGGAAATACTCCCTGAAACATGCTTACTTAGCTCAGTCCCTTAGTCCTAGAAGTGTTCTGGGTGGTCATCATTTTTACCACCTCCCTCCCCCCTCCCCCCAGCTGTCCTCATCAGTTGTTATGGGGAATTCCAGGACACTGAAATCCTGACCTGACACAGCCTTTGCTTCTATACTTTTTCTTGTTTCTCATGCTTCAAAGGAAATAAGTACACAGAGAGCAAAACCAAACAGATTGTTCACACTTTAATACTGTAAGTTTGGCCTTCATACAGTAAGACTCTGGTTGAACTAGGCCGGTCAATTTGGAGAACCGATTAGGTCTTTGACTCAGCTATGTACCAACGCAGCTCTCTCTTGGCAGAGGGTAGAGGCTTTAACAGCATGCCATCCTCTACTGATTACAGTTTTGTTTCTAATCTTTATGCTTTGTGCTTCTCTTTTCTTACTGCACAAATTAGGAGCTTCGTATGATGCTAAATAAAAGTGTTGATAGCAGATATCCTTGTCTCATTTCTGTTCTCAGGGGGAATGTCTTAGTCACCTCGGGCTGCCATAACAAAATACCACAGATGGGGTGGCTTAAACAACAGAAATTTATTTTCTCACAGCTCTGGAGGCTAGAAGTCCAAGGTCAAGGTGCCAGCATGATTGGTTTCTGGTGAGAGCTCTCTTCTGGCTTATAGATGGTCACCTTTGCACTTTGTCCTGACATGGCAGGAGCAAAATAAAATAATTATGAAAAGCTTTTGATCTACTTTTAAAGTGATTAAGCAGAGACAGAGTCCCCAGAATAAATGGGTGCCCTTGTCACTTTTAATATAATTTATGTTCATAAAAATATTTGACTATGAAAAATTAAAATACTTTCCTTTAGATTTCATAGGATAGTAATTAAGAACACAGAAAAAGAGGCAACATGTGATCTAGATTTTTCTGTTGGTCCACCTGGTGTCAGATGCCAGTTCATTTACCAGCACTGTGATCCTGGCAAGTTACCTAACCTCTCTAAGCCTCCGTTTCTTCATCTGTAAAAAGAGCCTAATAACACTACGTGTCTCTTGGGGCATTTCAGAAAATGTAAGTGATAATCTCTATAAAGTGCTTGGCACATAGCAACCACAATTTTTTGAGAACCATCATTATTTTTGTTGTTGTTAAATTGAAAGACACTTGAAAGTAATATAAGTTAAGGAAGAAAAGTTTGGACACAAACTACTTGAAGTTAAAGAAGATAGAAAAAAACAAAACAGCCTTACCAAGATATTTCTTTTAGCATAAGGTAGATCTGACCAAATTGTTTTAGTTAAAAATTCTCAATTATATGTAAAAGTTGCCTCAGAATACAGTTTGAATATATATATATTTTTTAGAGTAGGCTCCACACCCGACAACATGGGGCTCAAACTCACGACTGTGATAAGGAGTCACATGCTCTACCAACTGAACCAGCCAAGCACCCCTAAATTGAAATAAATATGGTAAGGGGCGCCTGGGTGGCTCAGTCGGTTAAGCTTCTGACTTCGGCTCAGGTCATGATCTCACGGTTCGTGAATCCGAGCCCCACATCGGGCTCTGTGCTGACAGCTCAGAGCCTGGAGCCCGCTTTGGATGCTGTGTCTCCCTCTCTGTCTGCCCCTCCCCTGCTCACACTCTGTCTCTCTCAAAACTAAACATTAAAAAAATTAAAATAAAATAAAAAATGTTAACAAAAGAATTTGAGAAATAGAGCCTTGTTGTGTTGTAGTTAGTTGTAACGTCATCTAAGAAAGTGGAAAAGTATTTCTGATATTTAGTAAACAAGGTTATATTCGAATATGTTATATACCCTTAGCTTTTTTGCAGGTGAACTATGTTTTGTTGAAAAACTCTCATAGCCAACTAAACAGTGGATTTTTAAATAGCTGTGATGTGTATCTAAGTCTAGCTAATCCAGTGGTGGAAATACTTAAGTAGGCTCGATGGCCAACTGGGGCTTGAACTCCTGACCCCGAGACGAAGAGTCGCATGCTCCACCGATTGAGCCAGCCAGCCAGGTGCCCCAAAGGAAATACCTATTTTTTTTACAGTATTAAAAGATGGGGTCTTTTCATGATAATTGTACAAAAACCCTGTTATTAAAGCATATAATTTCAGTGGTTAATGCTCGGTATTTGACTGGCAGAGTTTCTCTGGAGAGTATATGTCAACTTGTTTTAGCAGATAAAATAAGAACTTAAATATTTACAAACATTGTGTCCAGAGAGGCAGAGGGGCAGACCGCTATTAAGAACGCTTTGGATTTCTATGAATTTACAGGTAAATTTATAAATATTAAGTAACATTTCACAAGGAAAACGGGAAAATTTCAAAAACAACTTAAAACGCTGCAAATATTTTTTTCTTCAGATGATTTGTAAACATAACTGCTGTCATCTTTTAAACTTCTAAAACACGTGGAGTGTTTGTATTAACGAGATATGTATATGATAATTACTGTTTATTTTTGTAAAGGTTCAGAGGTCCAAAGAGATGACATTCTCTGGATAGCCATGGCAGGGACTCATCAGATATGGGCACTGCTCCTGGACAGCGGCAGACTACCAAAGAAAAAGTAAGTGACAGTTTCTGTCTCGTGTGAACTACACGAGTTCACAGAATTCCCTCTCCCCGAGTCTCCACGCTCACAGCTCCGCTGTGTGCTAGTCACTAGCATGTGCTGGGCTAGAGCTCCGTAACTGCCTCTCCGATTGTCGGGAGCGTAAGACAAGGTTTGTTTCTGGCTGACTCAGTAGGTTCACTGGGGAGCGTTCCTCTGCCACCAGGCCGATGAAGCGGCCACCGTCTGGAGCTTTGCCAGTCATCCTGGCAGAGAGAGAGGTTGTGAGTCGCTCAGTGGCTCTTAAAGCTTCTACTTGGGAGTGACGTACGTCACTTCTATCTCACGAGCCCAAGTCTTGTGACTGCCACTGCTAACTTCTGGGAACCTGGGAAGAGCAGCCCTGTGGAGCATCTAGAGACAGAACTGGAGCTGTGGGCACATCTCTAACATGCAGTCCAGACATCCCCGCTCATTAACACAAACACTGGAGGACTGGGTGACAGAGCGGTTAATGGCTCGGGTTTTGTAGTCATGCCTCAGGTTGAATCCCGACTCTGCCACTTATCTCTCTGAGCTTAGGAGAGCCCACTTAACCTTCTATCCTTCCGTTTCCTTATTTATATCTACTTCCTTGGCTTGTTTTGAGGATTAATAATATATATGAAGAGCTCAGCCTAGTGCCTGGTTTATATACAGAAATGTAGGAGTTTTGCTGCCACTGTTGGGGATATAAAGATGAAAAACTAGTGTCTCTGCACACTTTTTTTATATCCTTTCTGTAGAGCCTTGTTTCTTCTCCCTAACACTGCAGGTAGAACTACGCATATTCTTTGCTATGACCTCACCGCACCCCCTGTGTAGTTACATTACTGTGCTGATAAGTTCCTTCTCTCTCCCCCTCCCCCTCCCTGTTCCTGGTTGTACTTGTTTACATAACTGTTTCCTTCTACTACACTGTCCCTTAAGGCACCCTTTCTCATTCATTTCTATGTCCCCTGTGCATAGCATAGTATGTGGTACATAATAGGAGTTCGGTAAGGGTTTATAGAATAAATGAATGAATGGAAGTCCTAGACCACAAAGACCGTTTAATCGCCATAGAAAGTAAGTGCTAATCATCTCAGATATACTTATCAGTAGGAAGAAGTAGTTCTATAGAAGATCGAACATACCAGATGCTCCAAATCGTGTGTGTGTGCGCATGTGTTGCTGTGGGTGCTGTTTGGCGACATTTAGTCATTCATCTTACGTACTTATTAAACATGCTGGATGTTAGGCCTGTGCTAATCTGAAGGGATAAAATATATTCACTGTATTAAGAATAAAGCTTTTTAAATGTTGCTCTCTTCAGTGGACTAACGGAGGAAGAATGAGATCACCAAACAGAAAATAGCTGGGAAGTGCCAGTGCTGTGTGTAAAAGGGATCACTGCAGCAGTCCTTTAAAGTGAATAAGAACACCCGATAGCAATAAGATAGGAGCTATCCAGAAAGGCTTCCGGGAAGAAGCTGCTAAACTGAAACCTGAGAGGGGAGTAGGAGTTAGGGAAAGGGGAGGTTTTCTAGGCAGGAAATGGCACCAGTGATGTGAGTAAATGCCGAATTGTGAAGTGCCTTGTGTGTCCTTTTAAGACATGTGAATGTTATTCTGCATGCCTATATGGAAAGTTCTAAGCTGGGAAGTGACCTGATTAGATCTGTGATTTTGAAAGAACATTGGCAGCATCTGGAGTGGGACACGACTAGGGACAGAGATAGCAGCGATGGGGCTGTGATGATCTCTGGGCATGAGATGATAGTGGCCCAAACTGTGAGGTGACCAGAAACATTAATATGAGGCATCATTATAAACAGTAGAAAGAAGTAGCAAAACTGGCCAGAATATACTGTTGTAAGTGATGGCTGTTTTCGACCTAGATGGTCAAGAGTGAACTAAATTTCCAAATGAGTAGAGTTGTCACTGTCGTTCGTAATAGGAAAATGTCCAGTCAGATCACATGGACCCGTATCATAATTTTAAGGATGCTTTATCTTTATTACTGATCTTCAGTGGGCAAGACTCCTAACATTTTAGAAGGTACTTTTTCTCCCCACTCTTTTTTATTTAATTAAGGAAACTCCTATTTGAAATTAAGACTCATATTAATTACCTCTTAATTTGGTGTAGTAGTTATCCCATGTATTTCTAGGACTCTATTTTTTTTAGAAGTTTCTTGAATAAGTGCCCATATTTTATATATTCTCTAACCCTTTGCCTCTACCCCTGTTCTCTAACTTAGCATGGGTGGCATATCAACTAAGTGATTGGTGGTCAGTTTGGACTTGTGCCTGCTGCACCCTATCTGGAGATGATGGGCACATAGTCTCATTATTTTGCATCCTGAGCGAGCTTCTTCCCTTCCTTCAACACACCACATCTTCCTTACTGTTCCTCCAGCATAAACTTAGAGGCCAAAGTGTAAAACTTTCTCCATGTTACAAAAAGAATCCTTGCAGAGTGCTTTAAGTAGAAATTTCTTATTGTATGTTAAGAAATGCGTTTTACATTTGATTAAAGCAGCATTATCATCCTGTAGGAAGTGAAGGTGGGATCCAGCTATACCTCTCTCTGGCCATTTTGTAGGGAAAAAAAAAAACCCAAAATTATCTAGTCAATGATATGATCCTTATTCTTGTCAGGGACTTCCTATCTAGCCATTCAGAATAGTTTCCATTTTGTGTGTGTCCTTACACAGTAAGTAAGTTAATGATTTAGGAAAACTACAGTGAAAGGGGCACCTGGGTGGCTTAGTCGGTTGAGTATCTGACTCGGTTTCTGCTCAGGTCATGATCGCATGGTTTGGGAGTTCGAGCCCACATCGATTTCTGCTCAAGCCTGCTTGAGTCCTCGGTCTCCCCCTCTCTCTGCCCTTCGCCCTCTCGTGTGCTCGCTTTCTCTCTCTCTCTCTCAAAAAGAAAAACTACAGTGAAAGCAAAGCTGACTTGCACTCTTTAGGCCAAGATCATAGTTTGCTTTTAACAATGCTTACACCACTGATTTCATTGTTCACATTCATTTGCTAACTAAATTGGATATAACGTAACCATGTTGATTCCACCTATGAACTTGTCTTTTTTTAGTGAACTACAAAAAGGAACCTGCCTTCGGTTCGCTGGAAGTGGAAATGAAGAGAACCGAAATAATGCGTATCCTCACAAGGCCGGCTTTGCCCAGCCTTCAGGTCTTTCTCTGGCCTCTGAAGAGCCCTGGCGCTGCCTGTTTGTAGCAGACAGCGAGAGCAGCACCGTGAGAGCTGTGTCACTGAGGGACGGGGCGGTGAGGCACCTTGTAGGAGGAGAACGAGACCCCATGGTAATGCCCGAAAGTCACTGTTGCATGCTGCGCCCAGACCCTGCCAGGCTTGCGGTTCTTGAATTGCGAAGAGTGAATAAATTTTAGGAGACAGAGTTGGTGGCCTCGCCGTAAGTTAAAGTGGAAGTGAGGCCAAAGGAAATGCGACTATAAAGGAACACAAGTAGCAAAACCATCCAAGAGAAGTTGGATGTTGACTCTGCTTGATAAAGGAAGGATAAAATATTGATTACCGAAAGAAGAGGAGAATGTAGATTAGGTATTAGGCAGTAGGGTGGAAAGAGCATCAGGTTAGTAGACTTGACCTGTTCCTGGCTAGAGGTGTGATTACTGTGGATAAAACCATCAAGCACCACAAATTAAGAGGTTCACAATTCTGTCATTTTGTTTTTCTGGTCTAAATCAAACACCCAGGCCTATTTATGTGAAATTAGACCCATTTCCGGGACACCTGGGTGGCTCAGTCGGTTAAGCATCCTACTTCAGCTCAGGTCATGATTTCACGACTCGTGAGTTCCAGCCCCGCGTCGGGCTCTGTGCTGACAGCTCAGAGCCTGCAGCCTGCTTTGGATTCTGTGCCTCCCTCTCTCTGCCCCTCCCCATTCATGCTCTGTCTATCTCTCAAAAATAAATAAACATTAAAAAAAAAAATCAGACCCATTTCCTCTTTAACTTAACTAGCATAGTCATCTTTTTACTTTATACCGTATACTGTGGCACTGTAAAATTTTTAATATGTGCTGTTTCTTTCTTTAAAAAAAAAAAGAATTTATTTGCTTATGGTGATGTTGATGGAGTAGGAATCGATGCCAAGCTTCAGCACCCACTTGGAGTAACCTGGGACAAGAAAAGGAATTTACTTTACGTGGCAGATTCTTATAATCACAAGGTGAGTCCTTACTGAATTGTAGAATACCCTGCTTTGCATCTGTGGCATTTAAAATGCTGAAAGCTCTGTGAGCCTCCTCCAACTGCCACTTTAAAATAGAGAGGAGTAACAGTCTTTGACAACTATGTATAAGCCTTTGCTGTTCTTTTCTTGGTCCTTTCTTTGCAGAGAGCATATGATGGCACTATGAGCTGGGGAAGGGACTAAACACGTTCCCAATGACTACAGCAAAAAATTGTGAATTGCAATCCATCAAAGCTGCTTAGTAACACAGTAAAGAAGGCAGGTGACAGGGAAATTAATATGTCAACTAACAAAGGAACGTTTCTGAGCTGTTGCATAGTTGCAGTGCCTGTTAGCAAATAATTCCATTTTCAGCATTTCCATTTTTGTCTCTATTGCACAGATTATTCAACTGTTTCCATTTTTATTGAATTTTTCTTTTCTATAAAAACTAGTGGAAAATAAATGTTACTACCTTGTGATGATACCATAAATTAACATAATTGAGGCACAATTGGGAATCATTAGGTTTAACATAAGCAGCCAATTCTCAGCCAGGGTTAGATGCTCATGAGAAAGAAGAAAGTCAGTTCAACTGTGCCCCATTGTCAGGAAAAGAATTTTACTTTATTTTCTTAATTCCAGAAATATTTCATCAAAGATGGCTGCTGGAAGAGAAGATGTAACTGGGAGTTTTACGTAGTTTTTAGCTCTCAGAATGGAGTGTCTCTCCTGAGACTGTAATTTGAATGTTGGCTTTTCAAGAAAATACGGAAATGCCTATTCTTTTCCTGACATTGAGCAAGGATGCTCATGGCAATTGGATTCTCTGGTTTGCTTGATACTACGCTTTACTACGAACATGAGATTGGCCTTCAGACGTGTACTTCTTTGTTCTTTGTTTTTAGATTAAAGTTGTGGATCCCAAAACAAAAAACTGCACAACATTAGCAGGAACCGGAGACGCAAGTAACGTTATCACTTCCAGCTTTACCGAGTCAACTTTTAATGAACCAGGAGGCTTGTGTATTGGAGAGGATGGCCAGTTATTATATGTAGCAGACACCAATAATCATCAAATTAAAGTGATGGATTTAGAAACAAAAACGATTTCTGTGGTAAGCAATCTGAAAGTAGAAGTTGAAGAGTATCATTTCAAGAATCCTACTAAAGTCCTCACAGCACAGACAGAGACACTTGTGGTTAAACCATCTCCAGTGTTGGAGGCAAAACAGGTAGATAGAGTAGCGAGCGAATGCCTAGTTCAAGAATGCCCTGTTCTTGTTAAAATAAAACTTCCATTTGTGCCGAGAGTGTTTAAGATACTGGAAATTGGAGGGAATTTGAACTTTCAGAAGAGGAAAAAAGAGGACTCCGATCTGTGTTTAAATGTCTAAAAACAAAATGTATAGAGATACATCATACCACACATATCATGTGGGGTGGGTTGTCAAGGTGTTTTTTTTTTTTTAACGATTCTTAAATTAATGTGTAGTCGTTTCCTGTGGTGAGTCATTACCAAATAACCTCCCAAAGGAAACTCTAGCAGCCACATTTCTCAACACATTGAAAATAAGATTGATTAGAACTCATTTAAGTTTCTTCCAGTTTTTTAAAGATAAGGATAAAGTCTCCAAATTTTTTCAAGCTGCCTCCTGATATATCACATTTGCCTGAAAAAAAAAGCAAGAGTTTTTTTTTCTAAAATTCTAGGATTTTAGATTCCTAAGATTTAAAGTGAAAATACAGACTGCCATCATAAGTGTCATTTCTCCTGACATAGATCATCTTATAGTTGGCAGTGAAAATTGGAATTGGAATTATACCCCCTACATTTAAATTGATAACATATTACTTTAATTTCCTACCATCTGTAAACATATCAGACAATGAACTTAATTCTGTTTCATTCGTTAGTATTGGTAACTTTTTTTGCCAGGATGAAATACGTTTCTCGGCCTATAAAATCATCATAAGGACGTCTAAGTGAGCACATTTCTAATTCAGACTAGAATGGCAATTAAGTTTCATTGATACAGAACCTCATTTTTCTACTGAAGTCCAAAATTAAGCCCTTTACAATTACTATAAAGCAGTTGTGCTTTAATTAACAGATTTCCTTATTTCCTAGCTCCCAGTCTTCAGACCTGAAAACACTGTTGTAGATGGCCCATTCCTAGGAGAAAAACAGAAGACATTACCCAAACTACCTAAATCTGCTCCAAACATTCGACTTCCCCCAGTGGCTGCATCTCCAGGACAGACTCTGCAGTTCAAGCTAAGATTAGACCTCCCATCGGGAACAAAGTTAACCGAAGGAGTACCCAGTTGTTGGTTTCTAACAGCTGAAGGTATGAGAGTAATCTTGGAAATATTCCAGTATGAAATCATGTTTACCATTCTACCTTCCAGTAATACGGTGATATAAATCTCAGAATCGATTCTAAAGAATGAAATTGATTTCCCCCTTGGTGGAGTATGATATTTTTAAAAACATACTGCTTTCACTGAAGTAACTTGACTCGGGCTTTTTCCAGTTCCATTCTTTGTTTCACTATTATCTTTTACTTTTCCAGACAGCATCTATTAGGTGCTTTAGAGCTTTTCAGTTGCTGTTCATTTTATTTCAAGAGATTCATTAGGACTTGATTTACCAGTTACTAAGCCTGAAGCTACATTTTCTTCTTCAGAGATGCCAGAGGTAGAACTTGAGCCCAAGTACTTGCTTGCTATAAGAAAATGGATGCCAAAACCGTATCTTCAAAGTATGCCATTCAAGTAGAAGACTAAAACATTGTTGGAGGATATGTAACTGAATACAAATGAATTACTGTGATCAGCATCCAGGCGGAGCCTTTGTCCTTACTCACTAATTTGTAGTTGTTCAAGAGCACTTCCTGCTCACGTCTATTCTCAAAGTATCCCCAGTGACTGTAAATTGTGTAAAGATTTGAATGTGTATTTGAATCGCTGTGTGCTCCTCATTAATTTTTAAGAAGGAATCAGCCTGCTGCTTGCCTTACAGCAGTGCTTTCCAGCCCCACTAACCGTGGACAACAACTTGAAAGTAAAACATTAGTGGTCCAGAACGAAGTGCTGACTTCTGGTCTCTACTGACCTTCCTCTGCCCTGCTCTCCCACGCTCTTTCGCATGTTCTCAGTCTCCCATTTCCTCCCGCCTCCTCCCTCATGCCCTCTCACACACTTCTTGTGTGCCTGACCCAGACCCAGGCTCTCTGCCTCCTTACCTTGCTGCTTTCCCAGGGCAGCAACCACCCACTGGGCATCTGAATCCAGAGAGCACAGATCTCGGTGGGCCAGCCGGGAGGAGCTGCTGGGTCAGAGGTGGGGAAGCTGGCCCTGGGGTGACTGACTGAGCCTTGGGAGACCAACCACCCCGCCCCCCGCAAGGAGAGGGCTGAGCTCTGCAGGAGAGGAGGAAGATGTCCGGAGTCAGCTTTGTGGGCAGGAGGCACTCAAACTCTGGCCATCTTCGGCTGTCCGTGGATCCAGAGCAGGTCCTCCACTGTGGGCTTCACTGTCGTGCCTGCGCCTGTTGGTCTGAAAGCACTGCATCAATTGGAGATCACTGTTAATTTCATCTCTGTGTGTAATGAAAGAGCAGTGGATTGAGTTTTAAAATCTGTTATTGACAAATTAACATTTTCAAGTCTCCGTGGTCAAACACAGATTAATAATAAGCCACTGGAATATAAAATACAGGTAGTATTAAAGTGAAGTAGTCTATAGGGAAAATTCCTAACTGTTTTATCACTTGTCCAAAATAGTGGCTCTGTTTTTATTGTACAGGGGCAAATAAGCTTTCAGACAAGAGTCCTGATAATTTAAGGTTTTTGAAAATTATTTATAGAGTATATTAATACACCTATGAATAAAGGAAGGTTTTTCTTCTTGGCCGGTTATTTAGAGACTTAAAATGCCCATTTTTCACTATGGTCTATATAAAGTTGTCAGCATATGTGAAGGTTTTAAGTCCCCCCCCCCCAAAAAAAAGTCCGTATAAAAGCACCATTAGCATATTATAACTTTATAATTCCCACATATAATGTATCTGAAAAATAATAAAGAAACCTTGTGTTTTATTTCTAGAATTGGATATTAAAATAGCACAGTTTGTTTTGATTTAAAATATAAGAAGTTCCCCACAAATCTGCCATCTAGCAAAGCCAAACCTTAAATAAAACATATTCCCCAATCCAGAAGTAAACAAAGAAGGCTGAAGCGTTTTAAAGAGAATTTTTAAATAATGATTTAAAAATTCTTCACCTAACTCTTTAGATTTTCACCTTTCACCTTCTCCTTCCTCTTACTTGACCTGTTTTTCTCAAATATGATTTTTCAATCAACAGAACTAGAGGCAATACACTAGAAGGGAGACTGAGCAGCCTGATATAGGCAGATGCCCAGAGTCCATTGGCTCATCTTGAAGTGAAAAGAAAGAAAGAAAGAAAGAAAGAGAGAAAGAAAGAAAGGAGAGAGAGAGAGAGAGAAAGAAAGAAAGAAGAAAAAGAAAGAAAGAAAGAAAGAAAGAAAGAAAGAAAGAAAGAAAGAAAGAAAAGCTAAAAAGTAGACATAGAATTTCATCACCACTCAGCAGGTGGTCTGGCTTTTGTACAAATGGCCCAAGTCATTGAGAAGTCATGAGGTTGTGTTCAGTGTCTTCTGTGTGACTCGGCAGGAAAGCATGTCCTGTGTTTTCCAAATGCTGGCTCTTGGTGCTGAGCCCTCTGAGCTGAACGTCCACGTTCACGTGCGCTTCCTCAGTAGGAACATATGTTCCTTCTGAGAGGAGACACTCACGAATGAAGAGATCTTAACAATTCTGATACTAGAAGCTTAAAGGTTGTTAGTGGTTTATTAGACTTGTGTTATAATCTACGTAGTGAAGCCTAACAAGAGTTATGTGTGAAAATGAGCTCAATAGAATCTCTTAGTATTCACATTGTTGAGCCCATCTGAATAACACATGCAGTATTTGTTTCTAAAAATTACTTGGTTTTTACCTTTGGATATTTAATAATTCATCATTACTTAAAGGACTTGAGCATCACCACAGAGTTATACACACATTTGTGTGCCCTCATTTATTTTGTAGTTTTCATGACGTTCCCGAACACTCTTATCTGGTAAAAATGACCTGTTTAGTTAATTTCTAGAACTTAATAGGTTTCATTTTTAATTTCAAGGATTAAGGCTCTATAGTCATATTTTCATTATTTGGTCTGATTTCAGCAGAAATTTGTAAATTACAGTGTTCAAAGGAAGAATTTTAACAATTTGATATCAAGATCATTAGACTGGGAACATCTCATGGGTGACCATTATGTCCTTCACACAGAGCATAATGCCTCACACTTAGAGGCTTTCAGTAAATGTCTGTTGATTGAATCTAGTCTTCGTGAGGTTTGTCTGATTTCCTCCTTGATGTCTTATACAGTCTTTGTAATTTACATGTTTATTTTCTAGGCAATGAATGGCTTCTTCAAGGACAGATACCCTCTGGAGTAATCGAAAGCATTTCCAGTCAACCAGCCATCTCACTGCAGATCCCTGGAGATTGCCTATCACTTGAAGCCATTCTATCTATCAGCGTGTTTCTTTATTACTGTAGCACAGACAGCAATGCCTGTATGATGAAGGGAATTATGTTCAGTCAGCCTTTACAAATAACCAGTGCACAACCAGGGTGCATAGCTCCAGTAGAGCTCAAGTATGTATTTTAGCAAGCCAGCCAGCTACCCAGTCACCAGAGCCCGTGGCCTCCACCCTCACAGTCACTGTACCTTACGAAAAGCAGCTTTATTTCTGCCTCTGGGTACCAGGAGACCCATTGCTCAGTTCTAGCAACTGATACTAAGATAAAGCTACGCTTCATATTTACTTATCTATTATAAACAAATTCCTTCATTCTGGCTGTGTACCAGCTAAATCACTGACCATCATTTGAACCGTGATTTTGTACTTTGTGCTATTTGGCACAAAACTTAAATCCACACTGTAGTCTAGACTATTATCATGAAGATAATTTGCAATGAATACTGATAACAATAATGAAACCAAATATTTTAACTTTTTCTATCTTTATTAGTAGCGAGTAGCACATTTAAATATATAAATTTCACAATAACTTTAAACAGAACCTAAGATCCAGTCCACATGTTGGTATAAGGACACCTGCCATTCAGGGCCTAAGGTCTGTTTTAAGCCAAAAAAAAAAAAAAATCACATTACAGAAGCTTAAAGAGTATCTGGGTGGTAAATATGTTCTCTGTTCTCTATGATTCTCTCATCTGAGAGCAATTTAAAAGAGAATTTCTATTTTTATTATAAATTATTTGCTATTTTAACATGCCATTATTAATGCCTTATAACTATATACAGAAAAAGAGGTCTAAGGATGTACAGACTCAATTCCTGAACTTTTTCTAATTGAATACAGTCTTATCGGGTAATAAGTGAGGCCCCAGAAATACTACAACTTGCAAGGAGAAAGGGACTTCGGGACATATTACTATCTGTGATGCTATTTATGATAAAGCATAAATTGTGACAGCTGAATCTGAGTAAATGGGTATATACGTTGTCTTAGAGGTTTAAATTTCACCTGTAAACATTAAAGTATGCAGATTCGTTGGATTTGGGGTTTTTTGGCTCCCATATACAGAACTTAAATTATGATCATTTATTGTGATGTTTTTTAAAAAATCACTTTTAAGCCTTCAAGGAAAGTTTTAGTGTGAAGCACTTTCATTCTATTAATATGTATATATATTTATTACTCTTTAAAATATTAGGGCTGAAACATACAGTGATTAAATGACACTGGGGAGGTTTTTAACCCCAAAAGAAATTGCCAGTAGAAGATAATGGAAAGTTTTTTTCTTACCATAATTTCCCTTTATAACTCTTTAAAAGCCTATTCTTGTTTTTACTACAACTGATTCAATATGTTTGTGATCTAATCAGCTTACAGGATTCTGAAAATGTCAGGTATAAACTATATTTCCCCAATAAATATTTATAGGCAAGGTGACATAATATGCCTTTCCCCCCTTCAGAAACAAATTTGAACTATAACCTTTGGACTGCCATCATCTGCCCATTTTTCTTTTTGAAATACAATTTTGAACATATTAATAGCTTCATTTACTCAGGTTCTCTAAATCTCTGAAGTAAGGAAATGCATAGTCATGATTTGGATTTAATTTGTAATCTGCTAAAGCTATTTTTAAAGAGAAGCATAATGTAAAGTCAAAAGGAATCTTGTTTAAAGTTATTATATAATTACCTCATAAACCTTTTCTTTCCATAAAAAGCATTCGGTAATAAAGGAATGAATAACATTAATATTCTTTTATGGAAAATAGGCTGAAGTCCTGTTTTAATCTAATTTGAAATACTCTACTTCTCATTTCCATTTGGACATGATGAGAATATTTTGGGTTAATCTTTTCCTATTTAAAAAGACATAAACAATTTCACTTCCTGGGAAAGAAGTATATATGGTTTTAACCCAATTCAGAAATACTTGGTAATTAATTTTTCAATATAATATACAAACACATATGTATTATGTATCTCTATTCCTTTTGTCTAGACAGTTTTCAGTTAGTATTAAGCTTATATTTTCTTTCAAAATAGTTTTATTGAACATTCTTAGTCACCAATATGCACTATTTCTTACATTAAAAATATTATTTATGTGGATTTAGTATGATTTTTTATGAATCCTACTAAAGCAGTATAAGTAGGTTCCTAGAATTTATGACTAACATAAACCTCTTACATAAGAGGAAGCACTAGAAAGTTTATTTTTAAAAACTTCTTGATCCTTGTCTGCCTTCTGTTTTCTATAAGGACTTGCATTTTTTTTTAGCTTTAGCTTCTCTTGTATCAATTATGTCCAGTGATAGTTTAAAAAGAGTCAGATTTTAGTATAAGTCATCTTAATCAAAGTGCCAGTAATGTGGCATCACACACACTTTGTCACGATACCTGGGATCTTTGCCCTGAATTATTGTGCTGTTTTTGTCACTATTTTTCCCATCACTCTCTGGGATATTATTTCACAAGCAGTAGGACTTTTTTTTTTTTTTTTTCTGAATTTATACTCAGGATTAATAGGATCCCTGAAAAGAACTTTGCTTATCTTAAATATGCTGCCTCAAGCAAATATTTAACCTACTCACAAGGAAAAACTTTACAGTTGAATCACCCATAAGCGTAATTCTGGCAAAGTTCAATGACTACAAAACAGTTTTCCCCCTGACTGTTCTAATTAAAACTATAGTTATAGTATTATTAGGTCTGCAGAAAGCTATAAATCTTAACACAGCCAAAAATATTTCACACGTGCTGATGAATATATATATGTGTGTGTGTGTGTGTGCACGCATGCACGTGTATAGACATACACAGATACAAAGATCAAGTCAAGAACTTCTCATCTAAGTTTCTCTTATGGGCAGAATACTTTTGGTTAGTATCACCAAAATAAGTTACTCTCTGCTTGTTTGTCCATGGTTGGAAATTTTAGGAAAAAACTGAAAATAGATATCTGTAATAATTTTCTGCCTGCACAAAATTTATTATATCTGCCAATTAAAAAGACTTCAGTCTGGCCCTTATATTTGGTATCGTGTTTAAGAACAATCATCAAAAACTAAATTCCATAGTTCACAATTGCATAAAAATATCTGGGAGGAACTATGTCAACGGTGGTTCTCCTCAATGATAAAATTATAAATATTTTATTTATTTTTTTTTTTTTTTTATAAAATTTTTTTTTTCAACGTTTATTTATTTTTGGGACAGAGAGAGACAGAGCATGAACGGGGGAGGGGCAGAGAGAGAGAGGGAGACACAGAATCGGAAACAGGCTCCAGGTCTGAGCCATCAGCCCAGAGCCTGATGCGGGGCTCGAACTCACGGACCGGGAGATCGTGACCTGGCTGAAGTCGGACGCTTAACCGACTGCGCCACCCAGGCGCCCCATTATTTTAATTCACCTTGCCTATAGTTTGTTTTCAGTGAACAATGTGTTATTTTCAGGGGGAAAAAAGTTTTTTTTTTAAAGATTTAAAGTGAAACTGAATTTAAAGGAAAACTGAATTGGAAGCACTGATGTAACTTCTAAAATCACCTTTATTGCAAGGATCAGAACATAATTTGGAATGCTTTGATCTATTGGTTCTCTTAAGTATGTGATTTGGTAAAGACAGAAATGATTAGGACTTTTTATTCTGGTGTTTTTATTGTGTAATGTGTAGAGGTTAAGAGCACGTGCTCTGCAGGCTCTTGGACTCTAACCCTATAAAATGGGGCCACTCTACCTGTTTTATGGGGTCACTGTAAGGATTCAATGAAATAGTGTTTGTAAAGCTTTTAGTAATTAATGGAGCTGCTACTTATTAGCTAATGATGATAATTTATGACCATAAGTATCTAGCTTGACATTTTCTTTGCAATTGCAATTCTAAAGGAAAATATTTCTCAACCATCTATTTGATATGTTAATACTCCCCATAGAGTTGGGACCCAATAAGAGAAACACAGTTTTATAATAAAGTGTATTACTATTTATAAATGATGTTAGAGTTAGAAGCCTGGGTTTTCTTAAACCCAGAACTACAACTAATTACCTTCCTTGGAGAGGGTCCACACGTATTCACCCTGCACCCATGCCTGTAATACAGTCTGATGGTGCTCCACAAAATCTTCAAAGTGCCTTCATGCAATTTGCCTCCTTTGAGCTTCCAAGTAACCTACGAATCAGACAAATAGATGTTACCTCCATTTTAAAGATGAGAAAATGGCTCCAGAACGTCGGTGACCATATCTCAAGCTCTCAGAGTAATACGTCAGACACTGGAGCAGTGCCTGGCACAGGCTGTCGTTGGACCAGTTTCATGGAATGGTTAAAAAGGTGACTCGTGAGTGATCTTTTATTTGAATCCCGGCCTCCTGACTCCTGCCTACTTCCAGATGTAGAGTGAAGACAGCCCTCGGAATTAAGAGCACTTGCTTCTGTGAATACTTTCTCAAGCCTGTGTGGTATTTACAGAGAGCTGAATATATTGAGTGCTCAGTACGTGCCTGGCACTTTTCTAAGTGCTTTTCACGTATTAGCTCATTTAATCTTCACAACAGCCTTCTGAGAGAGGTTCTATTTTTCCTTATTTCCCTGACGAGGAAACCGAAACAAAAGAGTTACAAGCCTTTCCACCAGTATATTCAAGATCACGCATTTAGGAAGTGGCCAGGCCTGGATGCGTCTGTGCTGAACTACCATGTTATACTGCCTCTCAAAAGTAATTTGTTTTAAACCTACATCTTTTGAAGCTATATATAGTAAATAATAATCTAAAGAATCCAAAAAGTCCTAGTGATGATTGTTTTTGAAATTTAACTTAAATCCATTTAACCGTATTAGCTCTTTGACTTTTCATTATACGCTCTTATCCTTCATGGCTTGGAACAGACTGTATACTTTTGTTTCCCAAAAGATTTTGTGTACTATTCTCTCAAATTCAGATGTCATCCAGGATTTTCCTTGGCAGACGGATGTATTAAGGAATTAAGTAGATTTTTCAGTGTTAGCTCCAACAATGCTATTTTAATTGGTCTTCAAAAGGTAATTATAAGACCTTGTCATAAAGGATAACTTAATCCTTAGAACAGGACTGTCTCACAACCTAAAAATTTTGGTCATATTTAACATTTTAATAACTAAAGTGAGTTCCAGAAGCCTAGTATTTGGCCAGTCTTGGTAACACACAAAGTTCTCTGCTTACTCGTGTCATAAATGGCACTGGTAGGTAAGACCTTCACCCCCCCCCCCCAGTGACTCAAATATATGCAATTCTATTACAGTAAACCTATTCTAGCGTTAGGTACTGAAAGTGTAAAGTAAAATGTTACCACTGTGACTCCGTGATCATCTAGGAACAAGATTATAAACATCTTTTCATTAAACAGTTGGCTAATTTAAATCATTAGAACTTGTTAATTGCTATAAAATCTCATTCCTGAAACCCATAAGGAAATGTAAAACTCAAAAGGTAATTACTGTGTCATACTTTAGAAGTAGAATTCACTGTTAATTGCCAAGATTTCCTCCTCTTTCTCCTGTGGCATGTACATAGTTGATTTAAATGAAGAATTCACACTAACCATAA